TTTCAAACCTTGATGAGGTTTTAACCATCTGAGGACCTGCATTTCAGTGCTTTGATTTCGACCGTCATGGAAGTCAGAACACCATTCCAAGGATAAGTCATCCAATCCCTCAATCTCAGACAAATTGGCCTCCTTTGCATCATTAGCATCCAAAACATTTTGTAAATCCAAAATGGAAAGCTGGCCTTGAAGACATGACAAGTTCTTCAAGTCCTGTAGTCTTGGTCCTTTGGCATTTTCAACAATAAATTTTGACAATGTCACAAGACTTGTCAACTTGCTGATTTCTGATGGCATCTCTTTTAAAGATGATGTCCCAGCTATATCAAGATGTTGGAGGTCAAGTAGATTTCCAATAGTGGTAGGCAACTTGGAAACCTTTCGGCAGTTCCTTAACAACAATGTTTGTAAGTAAGGAAGATAACCCACTGAGTCAGGAAGACTTTCAATCTCTGTACCAGACAAATTAATGAATCGCAGATGCTTCAAGTCTCCAATCCGATCAAAGAGCTTCGTTATCTTGTAATATGGAAGAGACAACACCCTTAAACATTTTAGATTTTTCATCAAATCTTGCAAGACTGTGTTGGATAAGAAACAAGACCAATACCATGAGTTAGAATTCCTCAACTGTAGGAATGTACGTAAATTCTTTTTTTTCTCTAGGAATTCAAATCTTTTTGACACTTCATATTTACAAGGAAATAATGACAAATGACGGGCTCTTTGAAAGTTCACATTTGATATTTTTCCATCTAATTCAAGGGTGCAACATGTTTCTCCAGCAACATAAAGGGCTAAATCAGCCATGAGGTCATGCATCACAAACAATGACTCATCTCTACTGGATTGTTGAAAAAAAGCCCTCGACAATAGATCACGGAAGTGCCGATGCCCAAGGTCTTTTGTTTGCCTCATTCTTTGTGGTCGTTGTTGCAAAAGTCCTTCGGCCATCCATAGCAAAACTAACTCATCCTCATCAAATTCATAATCTTTAGGAAATATAGAGCAATAGCCAAAGCATCTCTTCAAATGAGAAGGAAGGTGATTATAGCTTAATCTCATAGCTGGAAGAATGTCACTACTATGTTCTGGTAAATCCCATATCTCACTATTTAATATGTTTTCCCACTCATCAAGATGTAGCTTACCACGCAAAAGGCCACCAAGGGTTTTTATAGCCAATGGCAATCCTTTGCACTTTTCAACAATTTTCTCACCTACTCCTTTGAGATTTGGGTAGGCATCAAAGTTTTCTACCCCTAGTGCATGACGAGCAAATAATGATACACATGCATCATTCTCTAGCAATGCTAAACTGTAAACTTTATCAGTTCCCTTCATCATTTTCCCAATATTCTTGTCTCGAGTTGTGATGATTATTGTACTTCCAAATGCTCCTGACAAGAAAGGCCTTTGCAACTTATCCCACAATTCATACTTTTCATTCCAAATGTCATCTAGTACAAGTAAAAACTTTTGGCCAGAGAACTTCTCTTTCAATTTGTCTTGAAGTGAAGAAAGATCTTCTAAATCACACTTTTCCCCAGTTACTTGCTCCAAAATGGATCTTGTTATTCGAGAAATATCAAATTCCTCAGAAATACAAACCCATGCTTTTAATCCAAACATACCCTTCAATTTTTCATCATTATAAACAAGCCGAACGAGAGTGGTCTTGCCTAATCCTCCCATTCCTACAATGGGAATAATAGAGTATGACTCATCTTTGCTTTCATCAGTGAGCAACATCTTAAGAATAGCCTTTTTGTCGTTTTCCCTACCATAGACATGATGTTCAGGTGAAGTAGTGGACAATCTTTCTGCAGCTACTTTGCGAAACTTTTCTACAGTTCTCATAGTCAAATTGATCAGGCCCAACTTACTTATTCTGGCCTCAATATTTTGCAATCTAGCTGTTATATCCTTCACCCTGGCAGCCATCTCTCGATCTCGATCAGCCATGAATCTTGGAACCTTATTAAACAATTTGGGACATGTCAGTTTCTGTGGCTTACTGGTGCTGGCTTTGGCTTTTGCAATCAGCTCAGACCTCTTGGCATCAATCTCAACCTCTTCAAGCATGTCCTCCATATCATATGCCAAATCCCTGAAATCAGCAAGCCATAACTTCACCACGCGGTCTGTTTCTTGCTTCTCTTCGGCATCTTCAAGTAGAGCACCGATTTTTGGCAACAGACTACGCCAGTTCTGCATCTCGAAACGAATTTTCTCTGGTAACTTCACCCATTCACTTACAGAAGAATTCAACTTCGAGAGCAACAACTCGAATGTTATTGATGCGAGAGCGGCCCCAACTTCCATCGTTGGACTTAAATGGAACAAACAGTGTTCTGCAAGAATGGTAAGACAAATCATTTTTATACATGTCTTTAATTTATTTAGTTATGACATATTAGTCTAACATTAATTTGAAATTTTCGTCTATATCTGTCAAGAAATGAAATCTAAAATGTTCTTTTATTCTCGCAGAAGACATATTAATAAACTGAAACTAAGATTTACAAAGAAATTAAACCAAGCAAATTTGATTAATATGTAAAAAGGGCAAGGGAGACATATAACTCTAACTAAAATAATCTTGTGAAATTACCTTTTGATGAATCTGGAGTGGAAGAGGGAAAATGAAGAGATGGGTCTTAGATTGAGCTTTGATTTTAGTGATGGCGGCTCTTCTTTGTTTTGGTTTATTCCATCCGGTTTCAGCACCAGAAACACTGCAAAAGGACGACAGTCGTTAGTTGTCAAACATAATTAATGAAAAGAAAGGTAGATTATGGATAAACCAAAATGAGATGCATCAAAGTAAGTATAGATGTACCTTTGGCTTTGGATTTCCTCTCGAATGTTGAATGTGGAAAGCTAGCATGCAGTGGAGGAGCCTTGAAACTAGAAAACAAGAATCATGACAGAGCAATCAATGGATGGGTCTAGGGAGCTCTGGTTTTGGTAGAAAAGGGAGAGAAACGAGAAGAAGTTAGGTGATTGCTTTTTGTTTGTTGATTCCACCAAAAAAGACTAGATTACAGAGCATAATTGGATGCTTTCTTATTCATCATCCAACACACATAATTAAAGATAGAAAAGAAGACTGATGAGTTTGGATGGTGGAAAAGGGAAAGTGCAGAAGATGGTAGTCTTGGATTCTGCTTTGATTTTAGTTGAGTGAATGCTCTTCTTCGATTGATTCCATCATAACCAGTTTCAGAACCTGAAAAACAAGGCAGAAGGGCAGTTATTTTGTTAGTCGTCAAAATCATAAAGAAAAGGGAAGGCGAATGAATAAACCAAATTAAATTAGACGCATGTTAAGTGAACTACAATTAATACCTTTTGCCTTTTAATTTCCTTTGGAATGTTCAATGTTGGAACAAGAAAACAAGATCTACGGCATGATAAAGCAAAAGAGTCTTTAGAGTTGAATCGATCTGTGCGTTTGCAGGAAAGGGTTGTAACATTTAGCTTTGGTTTTGGGAGAGAAATGAAGATGGGAAAGTTAGGTGGTTGCTCCTTTTTAATTGATCCCACCACGCAATTTCTCCCAAAAGACAAAGAAATTAAGCACATCATTTCCGTCAACTCTCGGTGTCCCACTTTTCTTTGCCTTTTTTGTACTAATGGGAATTTTTTTTTAATTGTGAAAAATTAAGATATTTTAATAATTAAATATCAATAAAAAAATTTAAAATATTCATTTTGACTCAATACCTAATGAAGATTTATTTGGATAATTAAAAATTTTCACAAAAATTTTAATAATGTGAAAAATTATTTTTTTAAGGAAAAAATATTTTATTAGTCTTTTTTAAATTTTTGTA